GAGTTAATTAACTTTCAAGATATTGTATTATAATCTTATTATTTTATTATAAACTATTTATAAATTTATTCTTTAAACATAAAATTCTTTAACAACAAAGGCTATTATTTTTGAAAGCAAAGGCAACAAAAAGAAAGTTTTAAACAAAAACAACAAAATTTGAAAGATTTATACCATTTTCTCTTTATTCTTCTCCTTCTTGTTATTATAATTCTTCTTCTTTAATTTTTTGAAATTATAAACTAAATTATTTTTTTTAATTGAGTTAAAAATTTAACTTGGACTTTGATTTTTGGATTAACTAGCTTTGATATAATAGACACTTTACTTTTATTTTTTAGTTTATATTTTTTTTATATTTAGAGAACATGAGCCCTATTTACAATCTTATTATTTATATAGATTTTATAATTTATTGCACAGTGCAATATATTGCACACCTATAATAATTAGAGTTAGAGTGCACCTCTATAATAATTAGGGTTAGAATTAGTATTAGTGTTAGGGTTAGTGTTTAGATTAGGGTTGGGGTTAGGTAAAATTGTGAGAGGATCATTTTTCATTAATTACACAACAAAGATTACTCTAGTAAAATTTTGAGATATAGTAGGGTACAATACATTGCAGGTGTAATAAAAAATAAAACTTTATTTATATTTAAATAAGATTAAATATAAAAGAATATGAGTTAATAAATTTGTAACTGCAGGTTTTATAACCGTAATTAAATTTGTGTAATATACTACATACATTTATATTAATCAAATAAAAATTTTTATTGGCCAACTTTAATAGTATTTAGAGGTCAAGCCGGACCCAAAAGAGAAAATAGCCATAAAATATTATTATTTCAAATCAGATTGACATGTAAGCAAAGTAAAAAAAATATGAAGAAAACTAAAAATACAAGAAAATGAGTATTTAAATCTGTTTTTGCGTACTAATTAAAAATGACAGAATAAAATAGCCTCTAATACTAATACTCTAACCCTAAATTTTTAATTTTATAAACTTGGTTTATTTTTATATTAGTTCCTTTTTTGGGTTTATTTCTAAGCTAGTTTATTTTTCATATATCAATTTGAACAAAACACTATTTAGTATTATAGTATAAATAGTAAAAATCTTGTTTTAGGAGCCCCTTAAAGCCAGGTAGAGTTCTATATACTACATAGACTATATTTTTGATATCTATATAACCTTTTAATCTAACTATATCAAAAAAGTAACTCTAAACTCATAAAAAATATAACTTTGATAACCCAGCTTTAAGAGATTTCTTTTTTAACTAGGTTATATGCATTACTTAAAACCAAAATTATACATATAGGATACTTCTTTTTTAGCTAGATTGCATATATTATTTACAATAGTATGCATAGAATAGATACACATATATATACTATAGCACTCTTATTAATGTTAATAATCTTCTTTAATCTTCTAAAATTAAATGATGTTGTGGATAATTCAACCTAATTGCAAAAACTAAACTATATATTGTTAACTAATATATCATATTAATAACTGTTTATTAGTATATAGTGATAGCAAGGTAATATAATATAAATTCAAATATTTATAGTATTTAGTATCTGTTTTTTATTATAAAATTGCCATACAATAATCCAAATCAAAAAAACTTAAAGCTAAGTAATTAATATCTTATATTATACTCTAATTATTACTTTATATCAGATTCATTACTCATGATTTATCAACTAGTAATATAGTAATAATTTGTTAGCAAATAAATTTGGATATCTGTTAATACAATAACTGTTATATAATTACTAACCTTATAATCAAGAATCAATAGTACATGTTTTAGCATAGTGATTAGACTGCTTATGGTGAGAACAAAGGCATGTAGCTTTTTCTTTTTTAGTATTTGATTAAATGTTTTTTGTTTCAAGTAAGCTTTTAATATGTTTAACTCTTGGCACTTCTTTTTTTTTTTTTAACCATTGGGTCTTGAATAGTAGATATATTAAATAGTATAATATTTTCTTGATTATTATTTAAATCACTTGATTTGTTATCTTGAATTTCACTTGAAGCAGTGTTCACAACCAAATGTTGATTAGAGCCTACAAAATATTGCTAAATAAAATTTTTCAGAAACTTATTAAGCACTTCTATTATAGTAAAGCTGGCATCCAATCCAATAGCTATGGCTTTTTTACAAAAACTATTTGTAACTCCATACATATAATGAGTATTAAATGTTTTTGATATATCAAAAGAAATACCAGAATCCAAGTACATAAAAGTTGAATTTGGTATGAGATTTGAAGTTGAAATAGCACTCCCATTTTTGTAAGTAATTGATGGTTAAGATATTAATAATTCATCTGATTTTAAATAATATTCATCTAAATACCAACATTGTAGAATCATAAGAATATAAAAGGCATAAGTCACAAAAGTCCTAAAGCAGGGTGCAAAATCTAGAGGAACAGGCCAGATGGTAGTTCCTGGGTTAGTATGATAGGTTATAAATACAGTTAGGATCAGAAGGTTTAAAAGGGTAACTCC